GAACCAAAATAACCGAGTTTCTTTACCGAAATAACTGTGTCCGAACCCAACCAAACCGAAGTCATATTCGGTTAGTTTTGGGACAGTTTTCATTTGCCAAAGTAACCGAAAACCCGAGAAACCGAAACCGAAATTCCCGAAAAAACCGAAGTCGCAGGCCTATAAAATTATTGATGTTATTATGCAAAGGAATACATTTTGATTAGTTCAATTCATCTTGGACAGATTTAATTATCAATATGTACATGACAACAACATCCGCTATATTTAGTACATACACCAAAATCATACTTATATATCTTACAAAAAACAGTGCAACTGACGTCCCCATGATCATGACACGGTTCGAATCCTCCGAAACATTGCACTGCGTCAAACAAGGTTCCATAGCCTGTTTATTAAAAAAAAATCATTAAGAAGACAAACACATTAATTATAAGGATCAAATCAATCCCATTATATATAAAAGAATACACTAGTACCTGGTGCTATCGCACGACCGTGAACAAAAGATATGATGAAACAAAACTAACATTATTTATATCATTTATATAGCACTAACATATGCAAAACTGTCATTTTATGGTAAAAAGTTAAAGGAACATGTAATTTGAAGTTATTTCCTTATAGATATGTAGTCAAAAAATTCATATTACAATGAATTTCTTACCTAATGAATTTAGTCAATGGCCAAAACTTATTCAAAAGAGATTATAAAAAGAAAAAATAGCACTATAACCTACTTTTCCAATACTTTATCACACAAAAACTCACTTTTTGCTATAGGTATACTTTCAGCTTACTAAATGTCTATTCAGTCCTCAAACATCCTTCACCACATTTTCACACTTCTTTACCTTTCCTTTCGTCTCTCATGTTATTATCATTTTAGGTAGGTTGTTATAATTAAACATTATATATTTACTTACATGTAATAAATTATGACTATTTTTTCTTTACATTTTAAGATGCATATTGATATATATTAGATGAAATATTATATTATATACTATCCATTTATAGCTGAACAATTTTTCATTGATATGTGGATAATCAATTACAATATTATTAGTAGATACTTACTTATGTTTAGTCTTTCATATGAACTCGAAACTACAACAAGAGAACATAAACCCACCCAAATCCTATACCTTAAAACCTAAATCTTATACCCTAGACTATATGGTTTAGGGTTTAGGTTTTTATTTTATTTTATTTAAGTTTCAAGTCCATAGGAAGTTATTGAATCAATATGAGTAATGGACTTCGAGTTGTAAGAAACTAGAATACATAGTGGAGGAATACAATATTATTTCAGTATTAACAATGGTGAAAAATATTATATCCACAAAATTTTGTCTCTTTAGTTCAATTTTTCGTGGATATCGTGTAATAGATAAGATTCTTTTGAACATTTATAAAACTTCTTAATTTTGAATAAATTTTAATTTGATAGTTAATTATGAATTATATACCACCTACAAATTCTTTGATGAAATAGTTTTTATATGCTTTTTATACAACAATAATTGAGTATCCACTTATTAATGAACATATTCCAATGTTTTTTCTTTTCACGTTGACCATATATATCCATGTGGTTACTATAACGTGGATATTCTAGGATGTTCATTAAAATTTTTATAGGCTAGGATATAATGCATGATTTATGGTTTTGGTTTTACAGTTAAATTTCATTGAACAAGGTTTAAGGTTTTAGATTCATGTTTTATGTTTAGAGTTTAGTGTTTAAGGTTAGAGTTTGAGTTTTTCGTTTAGGGTATAAGATTTAGGGTTTAAGATATAGGATTTAGGATTTAGACTCTAAGATTTAAGATGTAGAGTTTATGGTTTATGACTTATTTATCAAAACACAAATTCTTTGATTAAATAGGTTTTGATATCTTTTTATATGATTAAACCTAGTAAATAGCTAGAAACTATAGTGCAACTGACAGTCCATGCATCAATGAAAAAATGTACAACTAGAAATGGATAGTGTATAAAATAAAAATTTATCAAAAAAATAACAATATGCGTCTTAAAATGTAAAGAAAATATAATCATAATATGTTATATAAAAATAAATAGATAAATTTTGATATTAAATACACAAAATGTCACCCTAAAATGAGAACAACAAAAAAAAGAGTAAAAGGAGGAGAAAGAGAGGACATAAGAAGGGAGAAATCGATTTAAGCAAAATTATTTTATCCATTTGATTTTTTTCTCCACAACATCTCAGCCGAGGGGTATTATCGTCATAAAAAATGACACCACACCCTAAAACAAGAGAAAAAGTATACCTTCCCTTAAGAGTATGTTTTGTTGTCAAAACTTTTACACAAAGTAGGTTATAGTGTTAATATCTCTTATAAAAATACTTAAAACAACTGCAAAAGAAAAACGCTTAATTAAAATTTCCATAAATAAAACTTATGACGTTAACAAAAGTTTTTTTAATATCAAATAAATTAGATCCTTTTTAGGGAAAATTACGGGAAAAATCTTTTTAAAAACTTAAATTATTAATCTAGGCCATATCTTCTACAATTAAAAATATACACCAACAAAATACAAAACTACTCTAATCTTTATCTAACTAATATTGAAAATACATAATTAAATCCACGTTCACCTAAATAACTAACATTAGATTTTTTTTTGTTTTTTAATTATTATGATAAAACTTGAAATCATGATATACTTATCTATATACATAACGGTGTGTTTTGTATATACTTCATACATCAACTAATTGACATATATACATTTATTTATAAACGAGTGAGGAAGCGAGTCAAGACTAAGCCTCCTCCTTCTGACTCGCTGCTGAAACCGCTGACTCTGAAACGTTACCGACTCCGGATCTCGTTGAGGTACCGTCTCGAAACTATGTATATTTTGTGTATTTTAGATACATATATACATAACAACCGACGACAGCTCCATATATATATATATATGTACGTACCTCATCGAACACAATAGAGTTGTTTGGTGAAGTTAACGTGTACGGTGATTATACAGTATGTTTGGTGTTAAGTTACTTTACTAATCAGATTTAGAATTTCTCCGGTTACTTTACGAATCATTATGAACACATTGTAATAATTTTAGTAAACTATTATGAAAAAGTTATTTTGCAGAGTTGTCTCCTAAGTTTATTAATAAAGTTATTGTTATAAGTTTGTTTCGTAGATTTAATTTCATAGAGTTGTTTAGTAAACTTTTCAGATTGTAAAGTTATTTTGTAGAATTCTCACGCCTATTTTTTTGCTGGAAAAAAATCTGGTAAATTTAGTTTTAATAAAGTTATTCCATTAACTTTGTAGAAAAAGTTTTAAGATGAAGTTATTTTATAAAGTATATTAATAAAGTTATTCCATTAACTTTGTAGAAAAAGTTTATCGTTAAAGTTTGTTTAATTAATTTATATTTGTTTCTTAAATCTTTTTGTTACAGAAAAATGGTACATTCAATTGCAGTTTTGGGTGACTGGGTGCTGAAGAACGTGTGGCACTTTACAGTTGATCATATCAAAGGCAGCAAATTAATCGTTATAGAGGAGAAAATGTCGTATGCTGGATTACTTCAGATAGTTGAAGAAGAATATCAGTTAGATAGTTCCCTGCATAATATTCATCTTAGTTATGCACTACCTCAGATATTGCTAGGAAATATCCCAAAGGAAACTCCTCCAGTGTTTATGACAAGCGATCGACAAGTACGGAGTTTTATTGAAATTTGCAAGTCCAACACCGTCCAACTGTGCGTTTCAGTGAAAGATAAAGGCCAAGAGAATCGTCAAGTTCCGCTCGTTAATGAGTTATTTCGTACGAGTGGTGAGAATTGTAAAGTTCAGAGAGCTGATGAATTATTTGCTACCAGTGGTGCTAGTGGAGAGCACGTAGACGTTTTTAATGATGAAAAAGATGATGCAGATGAAAACAACTTTCTATCTTCTAACAATTCAGACATTAAAGTTGGTGAATACTTCAAGAGCAAGTATGAGTTACAACAAAGGTTATGGATGCTTTCAGTGAAATATAAGTTCGGTTGGAGAGTACCAAAATCAGATACTACAAAATTTGTTGCTGTCTGCAAAAATAATGGGTGCTCTTGGAGAGTGCGAGCAACAACTAAGGATGACACAACAAGGTATTTTTGGATTACGAAATTCATTGATGTGCATACATGTTCTGCTGAAAATAGAGTGTTCACACTAGGATCAATTACGCCGAAAATTATAGGCCAACTTATATTGGATCTTTTTGGTGGTATTAGCCATGGACTGAAACCAAGGGATTTGGAGAAACCATTACTTAAAAATTATGGGTTAACGCTAACTTATCACCAACTTTGGGATTCTCTAGAGCAAGCTCGTGAATTGCTGAGAGGTTCTCATGAAAGTGGTTATGAGCAACTCCCTAAGTACATCTACAAGATAAAGAAAGCAAACCCGGGTACAATTGCTGACCTAGAGCTTGAAGGCAACCAAAGGTTTAAGTATCTCTTTTTTGCCTTAGGTCAGTGTTTAAGAGGATTTGAGTTTATGAGAAAGGTAATAGCAGTGGATGGAACTTTTCTAAAAGGAAAGTTTAGGGCTACTCTTATAGTTGCAACTGCTCAAGATGGAGATAATCATATATATCCTCTTGCATTTGGAATTGTTGATTCTGAGAATGATGCAGCTTGGCAATGGTTTTTTTCTCGTTTGAAATCTGTTGTCCCTGATAATCCTAACTTGGTGTTTATATCTGACAGACATGAATCTATTGAAAAAGCTATTGATAAGGTGTTCCCATCTGCAAATCGTGGAATATGTTTCTTCCACCTTGAGAAAAACATCAAAACCAATTTCGGAGAAAATCAATTGTTTCACTTGGTTAAGAAAGCTGGAAATACATACAGACGTGATGTTTTTACTAATGTCATGGATGAGATACGTCGACTTAATCCAAAGCTTTGCAAATACTTGGAAGACGCAGATATTCGATTATGGTCTACAGCTCATTTCCAAGGAAACAGGTATAACATCACCACATCCAACATTGCTGAATCAATTAATGGACTTTTAAAAGAGGCAAGAGAATATCCCATCGTAGCTTTTCTCGATCATGTACGGGCTACTCTTACGCGTTGGTTTTTCGAGCGTCGACTAAAAGCTGCAAAACTTGTTACAGAACTTGGACCATATGCTGACCGTGAAATTGGAAAAATACGTGAAGAAGCAAGCACACTTGCAATGCAGGCCATAAATCTAAATCAGTTTCATGTGACTGGTGGCTCAGAATATGCTGTAGTTGACATGCAAAAATTGAGTTGTTCATGTCGGGCGTTTGATATAATGAAAATTCCATGCATGCATGCCATTGCAGTTGCTACGAAGAAGCAAATTCCTGAGCACACGCTCTCAGATCCTTGCTACACAAAAAATTATCTATTTGCTGCATATTCTGAGTCTATATATCCTGTTCAGGGGATTCTCAATGATATTCAAATACCAACTGAAGTAGAAGAAATTCAATGCGTACCTCCTCAAGGTCGACGTCGTTCAGGTCGACCCAAGAAAAAGAGAATTCAATCTTCCTTAGAGATTGCAATGGAGAAGAAACGACCAAGGAAAGAGCACAAGTGTTCAAGATGCAAGCTTTCAGGACATAACAAAAAAACATGTCAAACGGCGTTGCCATGAAATCGTTTTTTTTTTTGTATTTTTGAATGATGGATTTTCAGAGAGTTTTTCATCTTTTAGATAACTTTTAGACATTTTTTTTTGGTTTTGTTTTGTCTTTGTTTAAGCAATTTTTATATTCTAAATAATCTTATTGCTTGCTTGCGTTCGAACTACAATACGACACTTTATATATTTTAGGAACATAATCAAGTGTGTGTAAGAGACCCATTATAAAATCCAAATAGATAGAGCTGTTATAACACACCGAATATAACCCATGAATGATAGAGCTGTTACCTGACTAGTTGCCCAGCAAAAAGAGACCACAATTCATATTGTTTCTTCGTTACTAGTTGGTTTGCAAGCAGAAAATGAACAAGGGTACCTGACCAAATGAATTTATTGTCCTTCGCTAGCCGATATAAATCCCCAAACGGAGATGCCTTAATGTCATCTAACACATCTCCAAAAAGCCTATCCCAATTTTCATCAAAGAGATTGAGACGAGAGTTGTAGTTGATATGATCCTCAAGTGTAGGCTCTGTTTCTGGTTCAAAGAGTTTAGTCGGTAGAATGAAAGAATCTTCATTAATAGCAGACATCTCCAATTTAAATTCTGCATTACACCAAAATAAAAAATATTAATGAAAGTAATCTACGTTTCAAAAATTGGACGAGTTGTTGAGGCGATGGATGTGTAACCGACGTTAGCGAGCTGTTTAATGAAGTACGGTATAATGCTTGTTATACACGGCCCTCTCGATCAACAAAATCAGCTCGTAAAATAAAAAATCGTAGCTTTGAAAACACGAACCGAGCAGAGAGTATGATAAGGAGCTGAAGATTAGAAAGCTAGATTCCTCTCTCAGAACTACGCCACAGAGAAGAAGAAGAAGTGCAGAAAAAGAGACTAACTGGAGTGGAGAAAAATAAGGAGAGAAATGCGAAAGAAATTTTAATTGATTTTTAACTGATTTTGCTGTTTTTACAGAGAAAAAAAGAAAAATAATAACTTTTTGTCCAAAAAAATTAGTTACGTATGTTTGTTTCCCTTTTCTTTATTAAAAACCTAGTTATCTAATTTTAAAAGATTTGGCTTATTTTGATGATTAAAGTTATTTTTGGCATGTTTTAATAAGTCTCCCATTAATTAATCCGTGAAAGAATTTTTTACGAGGAGTTGATAAATAAATTATAACAGTACTTATTTTAAAAATGTTTTCTTATTTGAAATTATGCTTTTTCATACTGTACAAGTTAGGTAAATCAAATGGTTTTACTTTTAAACAGGACTGGTCGGTTCGACTGCTTAATTTGCTATCCCGAATTGGATACATTTTTGGTTTAAGTTTATTGCAAATAACCTGTAATCTTATAACTGACAAAACCATAAATCCTGTCATTATGTCACGACGACCATATGAACGAATTAGACTGGCCATATTTTAGAAATCATAGAATTTTTTATTCTATTTCAAAATATGATACATACGATTAAAATTGGTTCTCGTAAACTCTCGATGTATTATTAGTATTCTTTTGGGTTTTACTTTTTTTTTTGTCATCTTTTAGGTTTTCCTTGAATTTAAAAAATCATACAATTTATTATTGTTGTTAGACTATATTTTTTGTTAAACGTGTAATGGTTATTTTTTTTATTTTTCTCTTTATAAAAATGCATAGTCTATATAAAAAATAAAAATTTAATCAATTGACCAACGTCAAATCCGGTTAGTCTAGTGACCTGATGACCCGAAAAGTAGTCCGGTTCACAATCCAGTTTTGTAGCTTTAAAACATTCCGTAATTAATTCCTATGTTTTGAAATGATGGTTAGATTTAATTTTGGAAAAGATATCTTCGAATATTAAAAATAATTGAGAATTTGTTAGAAATACCCCTTTTGAGATACCAATTTTTAAAAATACCCCATTTTCTTGGCATTTTTAATCTTACCCTTCTTAATTCTAATTTGCCTATTCTACCCTTCACTTGATCTGTCTTAATTTCTCAGATCTCCGATGACGACTAAATTGCGAAAAAGATAAGCGTGAGGGCGGCGGAGTTGCTGCCGACGGTGGAGTTGCTACCGACGGCGAAGTTGCTGCCGACGGCGGAGTTGCTACCGTTCAGTCTTCGTCGTCGATGTGTGATCCCATCATTGTCGTCATCTCTCTCTCTCTCTCTCTCTCTCTCTCTCTCTCTCTCTCTCTCTCTCTCTCTCTCTCTCTATCTCTCTCTCATCTCTCTCTCTCTATCTCGCTCTCTCTCTCTTGTTATCGTAGATTCTGTTCTTCTCTGTTCTAAAATATGGTTTCTTAGATCTGAAGAGACAAAATCGGGATATGAAATTAGCATTTTATGTTGTTCAAAATTGATGTCTGCATTTTTTTATGTAACTAATCATAGTATTGATGTCTGCATTTTTTTGTATTTTGGATGATTAGCTTATGGTTTTGAATCGGGAATTGTTCATATGATTGTGAAATAGATGGTGATGGTGATGATTAGAGTTAGGATTTTGTAAGCTAATTAAGGGGTTTTGATGGTGCTTAGTGTTCCAAGGAGATAGTGAAATCATTCCAGATCGATGTTAATTAATGGGTTTCGTTCATTTGATTTGGATGATAGGTTTCAGCCCAACATCAAGAGACGTAGTCATGGAAAAAATGACCAAGTTGGTTCTTATTATGGTGTTTGACCATGTTGCTTGTGGTGAAAATGAGTTCTAGAGTCAAATCCCAAATTATGTTCATGGCTAAAAGAATCACAGCAATATGGATTTTAATTGTATGTACGTTACTTTCAAAGTTAAAGTATGGGTTTGAGAGATGCTTTTGGTTTATGAGGAAATGATGAATCATAGTTGAAGGTTTAGATCCAACAAGAATGAACTCACTCAAAGAAAGCTTGACATTCCTTTTAATTTTTCTTGTTGATGCTGTCATTTTATATCTGGTATTGATGATTTGTAGAGGACCCTTTGATATTTATTCTAGTTACATGGACATGAACGGTAGGGACATGAACGTTATTCTTATTTTATTGATTGTCTTGAGGATTTACTTGATATTGAATTTTCCCTGCATCTTCTCTTCAAAGAGGTCTGCTTATGAGAGCTTGATTTTGATTTGCTTGAATTGGTATATTTTAGGAATGGAGCAACGTTGGGGATAAAGTATTTCTGCAGTTGTACCATATGATGAGAGTGGATAGAATTATGCAGGGGAATAAGAACACCCACAAGATCACGTTGTATAAAAAAAATTATGGCTTGTATTTAAACCTTATACAGTTCGTTACGTTCGTGTGTCTTTACTACGTAATCTCAACATGATCTAGGACAAGGCATGACTAAAAGACTTATGAAAAAAACTTTCGTTTTGGCGGTTGGTTAGGGCAACATTATTGCAAGGTTCTTAAAACCGAAAATGGGTATCTTAGCACAGTGTTTTGTATCTTATATAAGATACAAAACACTGTGCTAAGATACCCATTTTCGGTTTTAAGAACCTTGCAATAATGTTGGTCTTATGGATTTGATGATTTGATGAAGACTGTGTTGTCTTGGCTTATAAAGAACTGAAGGGGAGCATATTAGGTCGACAAAGGTTACTTTTAGTTGAAGATTGGGAAGAAAGTTCTTTAACCATTATGAAACCATGAGAGTGAAGAGCTTTTTATATAATAATTGATTGTATTAGCTTTTTATGAATTGCTTCGTAAAACTTTGTAAAACCTTTTAAATATGTTGTAAAAACTTTTTAAATACTTTATAGAAATCTTTTAAAAACCTTATAAAAGCCTTATAAAATCTTTACAAAAACCTTTAAAAAAGCCTTATAAAAACCTTATAAAAGCCTTATAAGAACCTTATAAAAGCTTTATAAAACCTTACAACAACATTGTAAAACTTTTTAAATAGTTTTTAAGACCTTAATATACATTTAAACACTTTATAAAACCTTTTAAATACTTTTTAAAACATTTATTAAAAACCTTATAAAAGCCTTATAAAAGCTTTATAAAAAACCTTATACAAACATTGTAAAACTATTTAAATACTTTGTAAAATATTTTTTAAAAACCTTATAAAAGCCTTATAAAAGCTTTATAAAACCTTATAAAAACATAGTTTTTAAGACCTTAATATACATTTAAACACCTTATAAAACCTTTTAAATACTTTGTAAAACATTTTTTAAAAAAGCCTTGTAATTTTTTTATATAGTTTTGAAAGCCTTAATATACATTTAAACACCTTATAAAAACTTTTAAACCCCTTGTAAAATGCTTTAAAAGGTTTTTATTGATCTAACAAGGATCCTCGAGTTGACTCGATATATAATCACCCCTCAACGTCCAAGAATATAGTTCTTAAACCATTTAAGAACCTTATAAAAACCTTATAAAATCTTTATAAAAGCCTTGTAAAAATTTATAAAAGCTTTGTAATAGTTTTAAAAACCTCAATATACATTTAAACACCTTATAAAATTGTTGATAAAAAAAGAATGGATTTTAAAAAGAAATAAATTGTTGACATGTTTTAAAAAAAATATTTAAAAGGTTGTATAGGAAATTTAAAAGGTTTGACAATTTTTTACAATGTTTTTAAAAATTTAAGGTGTTTATAAGAAATTTATATGGTTTTTAAATAGGCTTTTAAGGTGTTTAAATGTATGTTAAGGTTTTAAAAACTATTTGAAAAAATTTACAAGGTTTTTATAAGGTTTTATAAGACTTTTATAAAGATTTTATAAGGTTTTATAATGTTTTTAAGCTTTTATAAGACTTTTATAAAGATTTTATAAGGTTTTATAATGTTTTTAAGCTCTTAAAAGATTTTATAAGACTTTTATAAAGATTTTATAAGACATTTATAAGGTTGTTAAAAGGTTTTATAACGTGTTTAAATGTATATTAAAGTTTTCAAAACTATTTAAAAACTTTTACAAGGCAAACAAGGCTTTTATAAAGCTCTTATAAGGTTTTACGAGGCTTTTATAAAGATTTTATAAAGCTTTTAAAATGATTTTACAAGGTTTTTAAAAGGGTGTATGATGATTTAAAAACTTTACAAGGGTTTAAAAAGATTTTATAAGATTGTATAAAGATTTTAAAAGGTTTTAAAAAAATTAACAAAGTTTAAGGGTGTGTGCGTATTTATGTATATAACAAATATTCGAAGATTTTCATTGACAGAGAATGAAACTTTAAAGATATATTATGAATCCTTAATATTCTATAACTGATGTACTACTTGTATAATCAAAAATACAAATAAGAATTGCAGAAAAGTTAAACAATGTAACATGTCGTGTTTCATATACAATCTAAGCTCTCCTGCAATATAAAACCAGTCCGAGCCATGTTTCTTATTGTTTGATCCTTTCACACTAAATCCACATAAGCATGAGCTCCTAATTGTGTTGCAGGTTGTATGTCCCACCTTCAAAAAGAGCAACTTGAGCCAGATCATTAAACAACATTCCTCGCTTGGATTCAACATTATACAAAAACTGATGGATTTGTGTTCTCTGCAACATTCATAATTTTAAAAGAGAATGTATTATTACCTCAATGCAAGTCAAGATCTCTTGGGGGTGAAAGAGATTGTGAATATTGGGCATCTCTCCTCCATCCTCCTTTGTCTAAAGTCTCAGGTGCTCCAACAAAGACGCACCAATCACTATACATTTACATCATCTCTTCTTCTATGTACAAAGACAATCCAAAATGAGATTTCCTACCTAAGTAGCATAAAAGACAACACATATAAAACAAATGCACGTAAGAATGAAAAACACAAGTAGCTAAAAGCAAATAAATGTCACTCTTTACGATCTATAAACATCACAACTAATCAAATTATGAGACCAAACCTTCAGATCAATATCAATTAGTCGATTTAGGTATCACCTTAGACTTGGTTCAAAATCATGGCATTCCCGACACCCCATATGCTCAATTGACCAAACAAGATTTCCATCTATGAAAATCAATAGAATTAAATTAATGATGACGAGAGGGGATACAAAATGTCAAATAAGGTTGTGACAGAGAACTCCACTACCTCCGCTGCTATTTTGAGAAGCGAAAGCTAGTTCGAGATCGAATCGCAATGAAGTTGAGATATGTTTAGATCGACGGCGAGATCAGAACGACAACAACAGCGACGATGACGATGACGATGACGACATGATGATGAAGACGACGACGACACACCGACAAAGACGAGACGATGACGACACACTGACGAAGACGAGATCGAACAAGAGAGTTTGACGGCGAGAGGCAAGTGAAATTCCAAAGCAAAAGAAATTAGGTTAGTTTTTGAAGGGTAGAATTGTCTTTTTGACCAAAAATGGGGGTATTTTTAAAAATGGTCTTCCTTGTGGGGTATTTTTAAAAATGTTCTCCCTAAAAGGGGTATTTTTAAAATTGTCCCAAAATAATTTATATAATATTTACAGAATAATAATATATTAATAAAACTTATAATTTATATGGAGATTAAATATTTATAATATTTTAAACATTTCATATAGGTTAAATATTTATAATATTTTAACCCTTTCATTTGAAGCTTTCAAAATATCATTTGACTTTTATAATATTTTAAAATTTTAAATATTATAATATTTTAAAGGGGGGATTTCAAAAATACCCCTTTTCCAATACCACTTTTTAAAAATACCCCTCTATCTAATTTTATCAAAAAGTCACAATAAAATTTGAAATTTATCAAAAAAATATGTATAAACTTATATTTATAGACACAAATTACCTTTGCATGTGTGTAAATTTTTATATATATTTCATAAGTACCGTATAAATACCTTTTAAAAATCATATAAAAAGCTTATAAAAACTGTGTAAATCTTTTAAAAACCTTATAAAAACCATATAAATGCCGCTTAGAACCTTTTAAAACCTTCTAAATATTTGGATTTAGTCTCCTAGTAGTAATGATGATCTTGATTTACCTTATCAATCATATAAAAGTTTATAATTTTTCATATTTGAAAAGGGGTATTTTTGGAAATGAATAGAAAAGAGAGGTATTTTTAAAAAGGGGTACACCAAAAGGGGCATTTCTCAAAAATTTGCTCGAAAAAACTGGATTAAACTTTCAAATTTTGGACACTTGAGAAATTAGGCTTCTTGCTCTTTTGTAGGTTGAAGCATATTAGTCATATTTATAATAATTTTGTACCATTGTCTAAACTACATCTTGAATACATACACCATAGTCAAACTGATCATTTTTAAAATCTTCATTGCAAACGACCACATAAGCAAAGAAATCAACCAAACAATCATGAAATCAACCAAAAAAATGACCAAACTGCTCAGATGAGTCATGATTATGCACTCACATTTTGGTTGGAATGAACAGTGACGAAAACAACACAAACAGAAGAAGAACTTGGCTCTCCTAACACCAACAACCACGAATCCCTTCTTAATTAGGCTAGATCTTCCAAGAACAATCACCCAAACTCAACAGAAGATTCACTGAAAATTTCATGAATTTTAGGAACTTTTCTCTCTTCATGTTGAAGAAAAATAGCGGTTAAACATACCCTATTCCGTCGAGTTTCTCCTTTTAAGACGAGCCCTAAGGTTTATCTAAACCATCCCAATCAATTTTGCAATCAGAAAAAAAAAACGGTCAAACCAAAAACGTGTGGTGTCGGTGTCGATCAACACCCCAACCGAACCGATTTACGAGCGTTACATGCAATGATAGGATATAAGATTTCATACTGAATGTGGAGTATTTCCTTAAGATGATTAGGGCTATAGAATATGTATATATTTAAAATTTGAAACTATTCATGTTATTGTTCAAAGAAATACCATTACATTTTGATTAGTTCAATTCATCTTGGACAGATTTAGTTATCAATATGCACATGACAACAACATCCGCTATATTTAGTACATACGCCAAAATCATACTTGTATTTTTTACAAAAAGCAGTGCAACCGACGTCCCCATGATCATGACACGGTTCAAATCCTCCGAAACATTGCACTGCGTCAAACAAGGTTCCATAACCTGTTTATTAAAAGAAAAAAATCATTAAGAAGACATACACATTAACTATAAGGATCAAATCAATCCCATAATATATAAAAGAATACATGCACTAGTACCTGGTGCTATCGCACGACCGTGAACAAAAGATATGATGAAACAAATGGTGAAAAAAATTGTGATTGAAGTCTTCATTGCACTAGTCATTTTTATTATATTTCTTAAGATTGTTTTAATGAAATTTTATAGCTTAGATGAATGATTAGTGAGTATATATATAGCACTAACATATGCAAAAATGTCATTTTATGGTAAGAAAATAAAAGAACATGAGAGTTTATGTTATTTCCTTATATAATTTTAGTCAAAAGAAAATCATATTACAATAACTTTCATACCTAATTACTTTAGTCAATGACCAAAATATATTCAAGAGAGATTCTAAAAAATACTTGAAACAACTGCACCGTTTTTTTCTAACGCATATAACTTGTGAGGTTAACAAAACTTTTTAAAATATCAAATAAATTAGAAAATCTTGGTATGATGATTGACAGGGTATTTTTTAGTCAATATTTGGTATGATAATTGTTTTTTTTATTGTCAGTAGATTTATAAGAGGACTAGGTCCGGATCCGCGCTACAGCGCGGGGGAAAAGTGTCGGTTTTTGTTTTTTCCGAATTATGTAAATTTTTAATTGTTAAAATGGGTTATTGGTGTTAAATTTGGCAAGTATGAGAATATGTACTATCGTGGATGTGTACTTTTTTACGTATGCTAGGTTCAGATCCGCGCTACCGCACAAAAGAATATTTTCATGTTTCTTTTATTTTAACATGTTTTATCGTATGTGTTATTATTTCGTTTATTTTAGTATCAACAATTATTATTTTGAAATGTATATTTGGTTTCAATTCTTTGAGAAAAATGTGTTTTCGGAAATTAAATATAATATTTTAATAAACTAAATAAAAGAATTATTAAACAAATTATATACTCAAAATGTATGTGGTGACGAACCAATCACCAAAACCCGTGTATTTTAAAAGAATCATGAAAATGTATAATATTGAACGAAATTTTGTATATACATGTATCACATAAGAACATATGAGTTTGAAAGATTTGTATATACTTGTATCCTATAAAAATAAAATAAAAATATTAATATACATCATATTGAATAAGAGACCATAAACTAAAATAGTATACGATAAAAAAATAGAAAACGATAAATCATAAGAAAAAACTCAAAATAAATTGTAAAGTTGGAAAGAAAAAATTGAGGTCTTTATTCAACAAATGTATGACTATATATTGTGAGGAGAGGGTGTCGATGTTTTGGGTTTGTAAGTTAGTAAATTGAATTCTTATAGAAAACACCTTTTTAGCTTGTAAAACAATTTAAGTGATTTCCTTAAATTTAATATATAATATTTAAAATATTTTAAGGAAAATTCAGAATTTAAGGTAATTTATTTAAACTAATTTAAGGTATATTTTGTATTAGTAGTGATTCGATGATTAATAATATCAAAGATAAAATATTGTTATTTAAAAAAAATTTAGTTGATTATAATAATTATCCTAAAATTTTAATTATTTTTTTGTATCCAAAATATTTTTGTATTACTCATTGAAATATATCAATGATTGTCAAAATATTTTTTTTTTCAAAATTCAAATATAACCATTTCCAGATATATATGGATCTCTATAATTTTGGATTAATTATGCTACTGATGGTTTGAGTAACCCGTCATTCATTTGAGAAGTCACTCGTGGTAACATCCCCTCTAAAGCTTCAGATATGTGGGTCGGATTTGTACTTGAGAACAGTTTCCGAAAGTAGTCAACAGCAATATCACCTTTGGATCCTTCGGAGAACTGTTCAACACCCGAATCATCCTTGAGTGATAAAATTTTGTTTTGAGCTCTTCTTCTCTGTACACTCCCATGAAAGAATCGAGTATTTTGATCACCTTCACCTAGCCACTTCTCTTTGCTTAATTGTTTCCAATAAAGCTCCTCCTCCCGATAAGCTTCTGCTAATTCAAACCGTAAACTCCTCATAAGCTGAAGATTCGGACTTAATTTAGCTCCCTCCTCCTCTAAATCAAATATTAACTTGGTGATCCGCTCCTTGGAATTTTGATTAGTGTTCTTTTTCCAAACAGAGATAGACCGACGACAATTTGCAATGCGGCTCAAAATCGATACATGATCAGTACCCTCGCTTCTAGTCCAGCCATCCCTTATCACCTCAGCAAATTCAGGTTTATTAGTCCACCGCTTCTGAAATAAGAATCGGCCTCGCTGAGATGTATTTTCATTGACAAAACGAATAATGAGAGGACGATGATCAGAACCATTCCTTTCAAAATACTCAGCTTGAACTCGGGGAAATAATTGAAACCATGCTGCATTTCCAAGAGCTCTATCAAGCTTACACTGCACCCAGACTTGATTACGTTCTCCTGCCCAAGATAGTTGATTACCAATACTAGGAACCTCCCGTAAACGACAATCATTTATCATATTCCGAAATGGAAAGAAAGATGATTCCGCCCGTGCTGGTCCACCTAGTTTTTCAGAATTATTAGTAATCTCATTAAGGTCGCCTAAAACTAACCAAGGCTCATCTCTGGACACACCCAAACTTATTAAGTTATCCCAAACTTCTTGACGACGATGTGCAGCCGGATCTCCATAGACACAAGAAACAAAAAAGGAGATAGAGCCGAGTGTGACGAAGATGTCAATGATTCGAGAATCAGCACGAAGAACATCAACCACATAAGAAGACTTCCAAAACAGAGCCAAGCCTCCACTCAGATCCACTAGTCTCCAAGAGAAACAAAAAGTCCGGAAAATGTTCACGACGCATTTTCCTCAACATAGGAATTGTCAAGTTGCCCCTCAAACCTTGACAATTCCAGCTCACAAAGCTCATTGATGATTCGGCGGTTCCTCATGCGGAACCACCTCTTCTTCAATGCGTTTAGCAAGCTTTGATGTAACCATAACCTCCTCTGTAGCCTTCCGTTTAGCTGAATTAGCCTCGTCATTTTCTTCTCCTTGATTATTTTGGCAGTTAGCTTTTGCTTCCTTCATTTTTTGGGCATGTCTTCTCCACTTATGTGGTCGTCTACGCTTCTGAAAATGTTTTGGTTTTGCTCCGGTAGAACCAGCAGAGAAGCTTGGTCTTAATTCCGTAGAGCAATACTCATTTGCAGAGGCTGTAGCAAAAGTAGCCGAGAGGGAGCACTCAGTCTGAGGAATTCGCGTCATTGCTTTCCAAATATTTTTTATTTAGCATTAATATATTTTCTCAAATATAATAATGTAACATTAATATAGTTTTCTAAATGATAGGAATGTGGTATATATTATTGAAATATTAGGAAAATAGTTAACTAAAAATTTGGCAAGTATCCGATTGAAAATTTAACCCGAAATTTTTTTAAAAACCCGACCCGAATCCCTTGTGTACTTCTCTTTTACTATAGTAGGGATTACATATTATGAAAACTGTTATAAAGATAATTTTACAATCGACAATTCCTTCGACCCTATTAGATTCACTATAACCCCAAACTTTCCGGTGTTGAAACATTATTAAACACTTAATCAACATCACTAGGATAAGGAGGTTTCATGATGAATTTTGTTTTTTAAAGATTTTTTTTACTTATTATTAAATAATGGTATCCAATATCAGTTATTTTTTGTTTAATATGGACGTTTTGGTACTGTTTTCGTTTTAGCTCAAGTTCGTAATTGGGCTATATTGAACACTTAGAGTTTGAAAAACTTATGTTTCGCTTTAAGATCCATTGACCAATAAGACAGACGAAATTGTTGATAGGATACACACGATTTCATATTGGAATTTGGTAAGAGAAAATTTGGAAATCTACCTTTTTTCAAATTTTCCTTTGAAAAATAACCTCTATCTTTTTCTTATTTTAAAATTAATTTTCAGATATATAAAATTACTAAAATAACTTTATTAAAATTTAATGGAATTAAAAAAATATAATTAAACAAAAGCATAATTATATTACGTAACAAGGTCAAAGTGGATCACAATCATAACCTTTACATACATACATCTTCACTTAACAATCTATCAATCTCTACGTAAAATTTTACATAATAACAAACATACTCACAAAGCAATCTCTACGTAAAATCTTTTATAAATATTGTAGAATTAGAGTAAAATAAAATCAATGAACTCACGTTGCTTCATAACATAGTGACGTAGAAAACACAAAGAAAAAATTAACAATAATGAATCTTTACCTTGCAAATTTTTCTAAAGAAATTTAGTTGAATAAGCTTAGAGAATTTTAGAATTGTATGGTTTTATATAAGTTTGTATTAAACAAAAATTATATATTTGATAATGTAAAAAAAATTAGTGATATTTTTGAGTATTTTGAGAAAAAAATATTCATAAACTATTAATTTTTAAAAATATATATTTTAGTGTATTTAAAAAAATTATCCTATCTCTGATTCTCTGTTATAGTAAAAGATAAGTACAACAGTCTTTTCGGGTCGAGTTTAAAAAAAATTAAACCCGGAATTTCCAATTGGGTCGTAATAAATATGGTTAAGATCAAATATATTATTTCCATATGTAATTTAAAATTTCCTAATATTACTCTAACTACTTACAAAAATTTTAAAAAATAATTATTACTCTCCTTTCATCTTTATTTGATCTTATTTTTAATTTATTATATTACAATATACAATACAAATGTATAATAAAAATTCAACATTTATTTCACATATACTGCAGTTTAAATTTTTCAAAACGGACATATATTACTCGATTGACAAAAAAGTGTATGTACAAAACGTCCTACATCGGCTAAAATATCCAATTTTAGGTACATTTTGATTATAACTTTTCTAAAAATCTAATTTGTAACCATTCAAGATTTTATAAAATTGGTTTTCCAAAGATATATTAATTTTTCTAAAAAAATTCAAAATATAATAATAGTTAAAATTTTAAAATATATAAAATATTATAAATATTATATACTTTTAAAAGTTTTAAGTTTTATTAAAGTTTCAAAATATTATAATTTTTGAATTTTAAAATATTTAAAATATTATAATTATGAAACTATAAAAGGTTCATATATTATAAATATAAAACTTTTAAAATGTTCAAATATTATAAATA